TGATGCATGTTTGGAGGTATTTCACACGATAAAAGGAGCTTTTGTCAGCGCTTTTATTATCCAACCACCAGATTGGGAACTGCCTTATGAGGTCATGACCGATGCTAGTGATTATGGAGTGGGAGCAGTGCTGGGACAGATGAAAGAAAAGAGGTTCCATGTCATCTATTATGCCAGCCGAACACTCGACGAAACTCAGTGCAGATATACCACAACTGAACAGGAGCTTCTTGCAGTGGTTTATGCCTTTGAGAAGTTCAGGTCTTACCTTGTGGATCGAAGGTTGTTGTTCACACAGACCATGCAGCGCTAAAATACCTGTTGACAAAGAAGGATGCCAAGCCAAGGCTCCTTAGATGGATCCTTTTGCTGCAGGAGTTTGATTTGGAGATCAAAGACAAAAAGGGGATTGATAATGGTGTTGCAGACCACTTGTCGAGGCTGAAGATTTGATGAAGAAATTCCACTATGACAGCCTCCCTGATGAACAGGTTTACGCCACTGATGTTTCTGGGTTTGACGAGCACCTGCTCCAGCCTGGAGCACCTGCTCTGACGAGTTTTTGCAACTCAGTTGACGTATATCGATATCCTAGTTTCCCTTGGTTTGGAGAGATTGCAAATTACCTTGCTGCAGAGCAGCAACCTTCAGATTTCATGGGAAACAAGAAGAAAAAGTTTCTGAAGGATGTGAGGCACTCCTTTTGGGATGAGCCTTACTTATATAGGCATTGATCTGATGGGATTTCAGGAGATGTGTAGCTGATGAGGAGATACCTGGGGTCTTGTTTTATTGCCATGACTCACCTTATGCTGGTCACTTTGTCACTTTTAAAACAGTGTCAAAGATTCTCCAGGCTAGGTATTGGTGGCCCACTATGTTCTGAGATGCACAGAGTTTATCTCCAGATGTGACACCTGCCAGAGGCAAAGGAACATAAGCAGGAGAAACGAGATGCCTCAGAACTTCATCCTGGAAGTGGAGATTTTTGATGTGTGGGATATCGACTTCATTGGGCCATTTCCATCATCTTATGGCAATGAGTATATTCTGGTGGCAGTTGACTATGTGTCAAAGTGGGTCGAAGCTCTGGCTAGCCCTACAAATGACGAAAAGGTGGTTCTGAAGATGTTCAAATCTGTCATATTCCCAAGGTTTAGTGTGCCTCGAGTGGTGATTAGCGATGGAGGTTCTCACTTCATCAACAAAGTTTTGAGAACTTGTTGAAGAAGAATGGTGTTAAGCACAAGGTGGCGTTCCCATACCATCCTCAGACAAGTGGCCAGGTCGAGATTTTCAACAGGGAGATCAAAACATTCTGCAGAAGACTGTAAGCACCACAAGGAAGGATTGGACAGTGAAGCTTGATGATGCTCTTTGGGCGTATAGGACAGCTTACAAGACACCTTTGGGGACTACACCATTGCACTTGGTGTATGGAAAAGCTTGTCATCTCCCAGTGGAACTCGAGTACAAAGCTGCTTGGGCAGTGAAGTTGCTGAATTTCGATGCTAGAAGTGCTCATGAGAGGAGAGTGATGCAGCTGCACGAGCTGGAGGAAATTAGGCATCCGGCCTATGAGAACTCGAAAATCTACAAAGAGAAAACCAAAGCTTTCCATGACAAGAGGATCCTCAATAGGAGTTTTGCACTAAACGATCAGGTGCTGCTGTTTAATTCTCGATTGAAACTTTTTCCTGGAAAGCTGAGATCAAGGTGGTCTGGACCATTTATCATCAAAGAGGTTCGACCATATGGTGCTGTAGTGTTGCTGGACACTAAAGGAGGTGAGTTCGTTATTAATGGACAGAGATTGAAGTCGTATCTTGCTGGTCCAAATGTCGCAGAAGGTGAATCACTCACCTTAAGCGATCGTCCTCAAGCCTAAATGGCTTTCCAAGTCAAGCTAGTGACTTAAAACAAGCACTTGGTGGAAGGCAACCCACCGGTAAGAGTCTCTAACTTTGTGTCTTTTATTTCTTAGCTACTAACTTTGTTTTTAGGTTCTTTGTTTTCAAATAAAAAACACAGGTAGGAAGTTGTTCATCGTGGAAGGGAAGATGTGATGAAGAAGAAAGAAGAGCACCCAACCGGAGCACCTGCTCCATTTGCTGGGTTGGTTGCTCACAGCGTAAAAAAATGACAAAGGAGCATCCTCCCCTCTGTCGGAGCACCTGCTCCACAGGGTGCTCCACAGGGTGCTCCAAACGAAAAATTGACGAGGGAGCAACCCAAGGGAAACCAGAGCACCTACTCCAGCACTTGCTCCAGACGAACAAATGACGAGGGAGCACCCAACTCTGTTTCAGAGCACCTGCTCCGCCAGGGTGCTCTACATGTGCGAACCAGGTATGTTTTCTGGGCACTTCTCTAGATTATTTTCACACCAGAGACGGTGTGAAGTAAGTCCGGGGGAGGATCGTGTCTCTTGTACTTCATTCATTTACTTTCATTCTTTTAGTTTGTTTCTTTGAGTCATTTTGTTTTTGAGTCAGTCGGTTATATGAATCAAAACTTGTGGGAACTAGGACCAAATCTGTGATGAGTTTAGACCATTTGTGAATTTTGACCATGTTCTTTTTAGTGACCATTGCTGCAGAATCAGTCTGATCCGACTAATGGAAAATCCAAGGACTGACCAGCGGACTAGAGGCGTCCATGTTTATGACAAAATCCATTGACCTGAGTTAATTTCTGAGCTCTTCTTTTTACCTCATCGATGTGACCAATGTTCACAGGGCTTGACTCCTCATTCATACCTGACAAACAAGGACCTGTGTGATGAAAAGATTGGTACTCCTCTCCCTTATTCTAAGCGTTAACTAAAGCTGAAAAGATGAGATGATTTTCTTTCAAAGTAAAGGGGTAGGAAAATTTCCTATCACACAGGATTGTAAGTGAGGGGTAGGAAAGTTTACAGGGACCCCATTATTCACCTACAACCTTGATGAAAAAGAAAAAAAAACGCCTGCAAATGAATAAGTCCAGGGGGAGAGGAAGAGTACCTTTGTGTGTTTGGTCAGTTTGTCATGGTATAGTATGGGAATGAGTCTAGAAAGCCCCTTGGCATTGGCTTCATCAGTGAGACCCAGCGATGATGGGATATGGATAATGTCATGAAATTATGGATCTAATCTGGGAAACTGCAATGTTTGCGGAGAAGTACATGGAGGTTCGATTTGGATTGATGATGCAACAGGTCGTCCGCATGCTATGGTCAAATTTACGGTCTTCTGAGTTTTTGCGAGTTCCCACCATTGTTTAATCAATTTTTCTAGAACTAGATTTGAGTTTGTTTGAGGACAAACAAAAGTCTAAGTCCAGGAGAGTTGATAAGTGGCTATTTTGACTCATTCTAACCTGTGTTTACTAATCATTTTAGGAGTCTTTTTTCAGGTTGTTTCATGTGACTAGGAGGCTTTAGCTGAGGATTGGATGGTCTGAAAGGCATTAGAGCAAAAAGAGATGAAGCTGAGCAAAAAGGAGCAATTTTCATACGTAATTGGAGAAGCCTTCTATGGAGCACCTGCTCTCGATTTCGACCTTCTGTGGAGCACCTGCTCCAACCGGGAGAAAAATAAGGAAAACAACTTTACCTAATTCCAAATCGCGTGAAACAAATAAAAGAGTCCAGAGCTACCTATCTTTTCTTCTACGCTTTCTTTTTACAATTTTCTGGACTTGAGAGTTTTTACTTGTAAGCTTTTGGGGAGATGAAATCTGCTACACTTTGAGAAGAATTCTGAACCCTATTATTACTTCTGCGATTTTATTTCATGAATTCTTTTTCATCTGTTGCTGTGTTTCTTTCCTCCATGTCTGAGTAGATCTCTTAGCTAGATTGAGGTTTTCAAAGGATTTCATGAGTTAGAGAATTAGATGCAAATAAGGCTTAAAATCGATTGTCTTCCCCACTATTAGACTTAACGCTTAGGTTGAACAGGCCATTCAATTTTCGATCTTAGGTTAATCTATTCATCAAAAGTGTAATAAGTTGCTAGAACAAACACTGGTGACCGATTTGTCCTTAGCCAACGACGGTTGAAGTTAAGGCAAATCGTGAACAGATCAAACCTGCTTGTTAATGCTTGTCTGCAATTTTCTAGGTTCAAACGACATTTTAGAATTTAGGTTGTTAGATAAAGTTATCGAGATCACGACAGTGGATCAATAAGCTTTTATGTTTGAGTTCGAGACCTGCATTTAAGTTGTGCCATGAATAGTCATTTGATTCTCATCTCTGAAACTCCTGCGAATTACTTTGATCTAATGCTTATTTTAATTTGAATTTAAATCGTCTTTAGCTTGCTTTTACTTGTCGTTAAAGTTACAAACCAACCATCTTTCGTCTTAGCTTTAATTCAGTCCTTTTAGAGTCTTAGAGTAACATTGGTCCTCTGGATTTCAAATCCTTTATATTACAATATCATCACTGTTCTATTGCAGTAGAAATTAGGAGATATATCATACATCACTGTTCTTTAATTTGGAAAGAATTTTAGTAGCCCCAGGCCATTTGATCGTTTGGCCGGCCATTTGGCGGATCATGCGCTGTCCATCAATCTAACCAAGACTCTTTTTTATTCTAAGTCATCTCCATTATTTCTAATAAGCTCCATCAGGTTTAAGATCATCTTCAAGCTCCACATTGCCTCCAAATCCTCCAAAAACACCTAAAAACATTCCAAAATACTCCAAGACACTTTAGGACGTACGTATACATTAACCTCTAAACATGCATGAATACCAAATAAAACTATGAAAATGCAAGCATAAGACACAAAATCTAATCAAAGCAACTATCAAGCGGTCTGGTTGGATGTCCTCGTCACTTTAAGCCTTTAGATACTTAGGACCGACGCTACGTCTAAGGTGACTTCTTACACCGTTTTGTTAGTATAAGAATATTTTTTTTGGTGATAAAATTTGCCAAAGTCAAACATAACTGCTGGACGTCGTATATAAAAGGTTTAAGAAGCCAAATGAAAGTGGACAAGAGAAGCATTTAGCAAAATCAAAAACATGCCAAACGATTCTTCAAAGACTTATTGTTTGTTACGGTTTCCATTAGTGCTTCTTCTTCTCTTCCTCGTCTTTTCTTCTTTCCCTAATACTGGATCTCCACCTCAACATTTTTTTTCAATTGCTCTATCTCCTCCTTTTCATCACACAAATGCTTTACAATCTTCATCTCCTTCTTCTTCGTTATACTCTCCTCCTATTCCCATAACGGTAAGTATCTCTCGCATAAATTTCCCTCTAATTAATATTTGAGTACAGATCTGTACTAATTATCTAATATATACATGCTATGATTTAAACCATCTGATCATAGCAAATCTCAACTGATATTTAAAATTTTCAAAACAGTACATGAATTCCGATATTCTGCTAACATATATCATAGTATACATGCATTTGTTATATTATTATTAGAGTTAGACAGATGCTATATTAGTACTCTTTTATTTACATTTGTCAACAGCAGCTTCTATTAGCACTCGATGGATATAGTCATATAGATATTGTAATAGTATCTTCAAAATTTGAAACGTCATAAAAATTTATTTTTCTTTTTTTGTGTGATCGAAGTCCATATATATTTTTTATTCTATATATAGAAAAGCTGTCGTAGGTTTGTAGTAAAAATAAAGTAAGAGTTATAATTATAATTAATAATATAATAAACAAATTAAATGAACTGTCGGCAGAAAAGGAGCAACCTTGAGAAAAGAGAAGAAGAGTTGAGGAAAGCAAGGACTGCAATCAGAAGAGCCGTCAAGTTTAAGAATTACACGTCCAACGAAGACGTTACTTACATTCCCACTGGCCAGATCTACAGAAACTCATTTGCCTTTTATCAGTTAAGTTACTAAAGAAACGCAATCATTAAAGTATACTCCCTCTATTTTAAACTGATAAAAGAGTTTTATAGAGTTTTTACATATACGTCTTCCTTTCTTGTGTTATTTTATGTTTTCAATGCAAAAAAAATAAAAAACAAAATATACTTGTTGTTCACCTAATGTGTTATTTAGAAAGAAAATACTCAATCTGTTTCAAAATATAAGCTGTTTTTGAGATTAATTCTTTGTTTCAAAATATAAATCGTTCTCAATTTCCAATGCAAATGTTTTTAAAAAATCTCACTTTTATCTATATTTTTACAGCTAATTAATTAGTATAAACATAATAAACAATATACTAACAAAAAATAAAATAGAAAATAGAAAATTAAACTATTTTTTAATATTTGTAAACAAATCTTAAACGACTTCTATTTTGAAACAGAGGAAGTATTGTTTAGTGCATAATAAGAAGTAAAATAATTTTTTAATACCTCTATTTTGTGAAATATATTATAAATATTACTTTACGCACTAGTAATTCAATAAATCTAATTAATAATTCTTAAAAATTAAAAATATTAATCATTATTTAGTAATAGGTGCAAAAAATATTTCTTTATGCAGAAAAAGAAAAACTAAAACATCATTCTTTTTGAAATGGCAGGAGTATTTTTCTTTTAATTAAAAAACCCACTAATTTAAATTAGAAATTACAATTTTTATTTTTGAAGAATTCCCTTTTATAATTTATTATATTACTTCTTATTATTACACTATGAATTTTTTTAATTTATGATGGGTTTACAGAATTGCAGAATGGAATCATTATTGATGGTTTTGTAACTCGTTCTAATTTTTTTTTTTAAAAACTTTCTTAAACCTAATTTTGTAGTATACGTCAAATTTTCCATAATCTTATTTTTAGAACAAAACATTTTTTACGGTTATATTTTCTAGATTTAATTGGTTTTCTCAAACAATATCTATTTTTCCCATCCAAACACTCTTATTTCAATTTTAATTTCAGTTTTTTGTCCTCTATGCATGAACCAGAGTTAAAATATCATAGGATTTGTGCCTAACTTGAAGTTTTTTGACCAAACTCTCCACCGTACCCACTTCTATAATTGAGTGTTGTCAGTGTCACTGATGTTACAGAACTCACACGGACTAATTAGTAAATAACTGCCAATATGCCAAATTTGATTGGACTTCCATTCTTCCAATTTTTTCCTTATTTTAATTAGTAGAAGTCAATTGCTTTATACATAAGTTACATAGAGATCGAGATGTACTTTTTGGCCAACTGAAATTCATTTGCTTTGATTGAAATTCTTTTACTTTCGGTCAACTGAGATAAATTGACATTTTGACTCACTCGTTCACCGAAAAGTTACTCTTTTGTCTGGGTCAATTAAACTACTCACTCATATTAAACTGAAGATTACATTTTGTAAAATAATTAAGACGTACTCTTTTATTTTGGGTATAAAAGTTAAGATAAGTAATCATATTTTATTAATAATCTACACAAAATTTAGAATATCTATTTTTTGGATCGTAAAAAATTGTTTACTTTTTCTTTAGTTTATTGTTTAAACTTTGTAACTAACTCTACGAAATAATGTGTTAAAAAAAAAAAAAAAACAGGAGTCACACAGAAATGATGAAAAGATTTAAAGTATGGTCGTATAAAGAAGGAGAGCAGCCACTGGTTCATGATGGACCGGTGAATGATATCTACGGTATTGAGGGACAGTTCATCGACGAGCTAGGAAATGTAATGGGCGGACGGTTTAGTGCTGGCCAGCCTGAAGAAGCTCATGCCTTCTTCTTGCCCTTCTCCGTTGCCAACATTGTCCACTATGTCTACAAACCCATCACCTCATCAGCCGATTTCAACCGGGACCGTCTTCACCGGATCTTTAATGACTACGTAGACGTCGTGGCTCGCAAGTATCCTTTTTGGAACCAAAGCAATGGCGCTGACCATTTTATGGTCTCTTGCCATGATTGGGTACATGTTTTCCTATACACAACTTCTTTATAGCATTTGAGGATTTCATCTAGGGTGGTCAAATCAGTATTTGATTTGAAATTTTGAATTTTGAAGCATATAAACCAAAAACCGAATGTATCACTTTGTTACGTTAGATATGGTTATGGTTTTTTAGAAAATATTTGAAGGAGTTTCCAAAGAAAGTTAGGTTTTAGTCGGCTGTTTGGTTTCAGTTACAACCTGTTCCAACATATATAAAAAAAAAAATGAAACCAAACCGGTTAATTTGCTCTTCAATTTAGTTTTACTTGGTGTGATTTATTTAACATGATTTCAATAATGATTTTAGGCTCCTGAAGTGTCGGACAGTAAACCAGAGTTTTTTAAGGATTTCATAAGAGGGCTATGCAATGCCAACACATCGGAAGGTTTCAGACCAAACATCGATTTCTCTATACCAGAGATTAACATTCCTAAAGGGAAGCTAAAACCACCGTTCATGGGCCAACCCCCTGAAAATAGGACGATCTTGGCGTTCTTCGCAGGAAGAGCTCATGGATATATAAGGGAAGTCTTGTTCAATCACTGGAAGGGTAATGATAGAGACATTCAAGTGTACGATGGCCTCACAAAAGGACAAAACTATCATGAATTGATTGGTCATAGCAAGTTTTGTCTTTGTCCTAGTGGCTACGAAGTTGCTAGCCCAAGAGAGGTCGAAGCCATATACTCAGGTTGCGTCCCTGTTGTGATATCCAATAACTACTCGCTTCCATTCAGTGATGTGCTTGATTGGAGCAAGTTTTCGGTTGAAATCCCGATCGACAAAATATCTGAAATCAAGAGGATTTTACAAAAGATCCCACATGATAAGTATCTACGGATGTACAAAAATGTTATGAAGGTTAAAAGGCATTTTGTGGTGAACCGTCCTGCTCAACCGTTTGATGTTATCCACATGATACTTCACTCTGTTTGGTTAAGGAGGCTTAACATTCAGTTGCCCTCGTGATTTTAATCCTTTATTCTATTTTTTAATGCTTTTAGCTACAACAAAAAAAATAGATGCCACACTACAATACTTTTTGTTTTTGTGTTTCTTGCCTTCAACTTTTCGGTTAATGGTTAGAATCTTTTAAGAAGTTTAAAAAGTAAATAATTCCTTGTACTAATCAATTGTCGAGAGTTTTAATTATTGAAATGTGGTTGTGTTATAAGGTTGATAGAATGAAGCAAGGTTTTAGCAAAAAAGAAGCAAGGTTTTAGCAAAAAAGAAGCAAGGTTTTAAAAACCAGACCGGCCAATTTGACAGATCTGACCAAGGACCATCCATCTTGCTGAGTCCAAGTCGAGTTATAAAACAGATTTTACTTAAACCACTAAGGTCTCGACTCCCCAAAACCATAACTTAAAATCCGAATCACAAAATTTAACTGACAATTTTGATTGAAGATGATTTTTTCCATGACTAGCATTTCTATTTCTCAAATTTAATAGAAAACTAACATTTTAGGAACATGGTTGCCCAAAATATGTTTTTTTTCATGGTTGGCGATTAAAAATATTTTCCCACAATTTCTCCAATAGTTAATTTGGATTCAAATATATATTTTGTTTATATACTCTGTTCTAGTCATCTAGAAACTCGAGACCACCTACTTTTCATTTTTTTTAGCGGTTGGAAATATATTGCATATAAAAACCTCATAGAAGTCACACCATTTACACCTTCACAAAAGTAGTACATTAATTGCACACAAGAGTAGTACATTAATTGCATATAAAATACTCATACAATAACACAATTTCACAGGATAGTAAAATATGTGTCTTCATCTTTTATTTTGTTTTTCAGAATTCCATCTACCAATTATGGATGGAACGTAAACACAAACGTCGTCGAGTAGCGTCCATGCTATTGGAAAGATAGTTCGTCATAAACTCATTTCTTATTTTGCTATAAAAAGACCAATATTACGATAGTCCCCTATAGTTAATGATTCGGTTTCGCGAATGAGACTCTTCCATCAGAAGATAATCCCCAATTATCAGTTTTTTTTTTGTAAAAAACATATTTTCCATCAGAAATATCATATAGTAATAAATCTGTACAAAGTTACAATTTGATTTAGAAGTTTTTGTTAGATCAATCCCTTAATAAGCTCATGTCATTGTAGTATTAAAGTTGTCAATCCAATTGGGAGAAGTCTATTAAATCAGAATATAAGAGCCTCTCTAATTCAAGCTAAACAAGATTGGTTTTTGTTTTTAAAGTATAAGTTAAATGATTCAAACTTAAACAAGAAAAACAAGACTAATAACTTAAAGCAATTCTAAAATAAGATTAGACAATGACAAAGAAAAAGGCTGATAAAAAAAAGTCCTTGGATGTGATTATTGACTTGGGGTATTATTCTTAGGTCTAGAACAAGCAATTTTTCTTAGGTCTAGAACATTTGTGAAAAAGACATTAACAAGCATTACAAACAAATTCTATTAACAATTTAATCCATTTAACAAGCATTCTCATGTGAAAAAAAAAATTATATGACTATTTGGGGGAATTTCATCAAATATTGTTGGTACATGAAATTCCCTAAGGTTTAGATCAAACTAACCAGGGGAGATCTAGCATTAGGATCATCAATTAAGAAAGGGGAAAAAAATATAGTCCTAAGCATTATAGATCAACCAAAATAAACCTTAATCTACCATACCTATGAATTTTAAGAAGACTACTCTGCTTAAACCCATAAAATCAATGAAGATAAGAGTGAGAGACATGATTAATGATAAGAAGAAAAAAAAGATTGAGTTGAAATAAACAATAAAACTCGATTCAAACTTAGAAATATCGTGTTTCTCCAAAAGGAAGTGTTTTTAAAGAAAAAACAAGATGATCCATAAAATTAGGTCTAAAGGTTTATATAATGGTTTGCATCGAACCAGATTATCCCAGAACAAACCGGGTATTAACCCGGTCGGATCTTAACTTTGGAGGCTACCATCAGACACTTTATGGCCAGCATGAGTGTTCGGTATAGCGGCTTGCTCCAAAAAGGCTTCAACCCCGAACATGGAGCGTGAGGTACAGACCCAGTTTGGGCATAAACAGTCAACTTTGACCAAAAGTGATCGAGAGATACAGGTAGATGCTTGATGGATCTTCAGGAAGGTTTCCTCAAACAAGTTTGGTTCAGGGAGGTAAGTCGAGGAAGTTTTAGCTGGCCTCGTTCAAGACTGGTCAAGGAATTCTTCTTCAGGGAAGGAATCAAGGCCAGCCTCGACTAAGCCTAGTTCAAGGATGGCCTCGACCAAGGGTGATCGAAGGATGCATGTCCATGCCATCCTTTCTTTCTTCAACTTCTTACTACATATATAAGTCCATTTCAAAGCTTGACTGAGTATCCCCTACCTTCATTACCTCCAAAAACACTTATAAACACTCCAAAAAGAATGCATATATAAAATGTAGAAAACATTAAGGCCCTTATTCCACAGAAGCACTATAGCTACGCTGATGAGGCCATCGAACCATCACCAGACCCAAAGATCGTTCCCGAGCTCAAAGAAGCACCAATGACCCGTTCCAAAGCAAAGAGGCTTAGAGAAGGGTTCAACTTGGCCGTGGAATCATTACTATGTACCATGGAACTTGGAGATGCATTCAAAACCGAGATTCAAGAGCAATACATGCGAGACAGCCCCAAAGGACCCGATTTAGACATAATGGAGGGTTTCGCGCGTTTGAGCCTCAAAGAGAACCAGCCCCAACCAGAACCAGGTATACATGTTTACTTGGCAGGAAATGGAGCACGGAACACCAAGAATCTCGAAGAGACCGCATTGGACCCTCAAGATACAACCGTTTCAAGACTCGGAGCCGATAGCGAGCAAATGAGACAAGAAGAGGAACATGAAGTGGGACGCATGAAGAAACTTGAAGAACTCGCAGGACACAACGTTAGCAGAACTCTAGACGAAGAAAACATCACGACTAACGAAGAAAACCTCAAGACTAACGAGCTACTCAACGACGTAACCAGCAAGCCCACGACCGGCTGTAACCAGGTATTTTCCATTTATACGATTTGTGCAGGTAACATGGGAGTATCCTAGTGGTGTTTAACACACTAGAGAGCATCAGAGGTGCACGGAACAAGTCCAGAAAAGGTTGCACACAATTAGTTTCTTTTCCTTTTTATTTTTAAGTGAATTTTCCATTTTTGTTTCCAAATGAGACGCTTTGCCATTTTGCTTTATTTATTTTTACAAGTCCTGTTGTTTTGAGTCCTTAGTGTCTTTTTTATTCATTGAGTCGAACCCTAGAAGGTTCAAAGCTGACGGACTGTTTATAAAGTCCCACATGCAGTTCTTGTACTTTAACCTTTTTTTCCCCGACATCAATAAAATAACGCTGTTTTCCTCTTAGCTTGTGCTTGAGAGACTTTATTTGTGTTCTTGCGTGTGAGATTCACCAAGAGACAAGCCGCAGTATCAAAGATCCTCCATCATCTCTGTGGTGCCTTCGATCCACTTCAAAACACCTAACTGATCCCTCAAGAGAGAGCGTTAAAGCCAGCTTGACAGATCCCATCTCGATTCCAGTCTTGTGGAAGCAAGCCTTGTCTTACCATCCTCATCCACTGATCTACACGAGAGAGCGACAAAGCCAGCGTGTTGATCCCACCAAGCCCTCGATTCCACAATCATATAAGTCTCACCCGAGTCTTATATCATTTTGGTATCAGAGCCAAAGGTTCTTGCCTTTGGTTTTCTATCCCTTGTACTCTTTCATTTGATTCATACTCATTTAGTTTATTTTGATTCATAAAACCAAAAACCCTAGAAAATTTTAATTGCTTTCGTATTCAATAGTCAAAAAAAAGAAAAGAAAAGAATCTGTTGCCTTGCTAGTTTTTAAGACCGTTAATTCTTGTTCGTTGCAAACTAAAATTTGAAACCCCTATAAAAAGTTATTTAGCTTCATTTAAGTATCGAGTTACATAGTCTAGCATTTTATTATCATTAATATTCGGTGGTACTTTTGACTAGTTGTTGTTTTTGTTGAGTATAAGGACACCAATTGCGGTTATCTAGCAACATGGCCGAAGGAGAACCTGTTCCGAACGATGCTCTTGTCCAAATGATGACCGCAATGAGAGAGGAGCTGAGGAACATGACTCAACAAATGGGAAATATTCGTCAAGAACTCGGAGCAAGAATAGATCGAGTTGAGGCACAACCAAGGAGAGCCCCAGTTCGAGGAGCACAAGTGCAAGCCGGTGACGCGAGTGATGATGAAGAGATGCCCGAACTAGAGGATGAACTTCCACCTGATCCTCTTCAGCATCGACAGCAGAGGAGACCGGATCCTCTAAGAAAAAATCCAGATAGAGTAGTAGATGCCCGAGAACAAACCCATGATCTCAAGCTAACACCCCCTACTTTTGCAGGAAAATCGGATCCCGAAGCATACATGGATTGGGAGAGGCGACAAGAGCACATCTTTGAGTGCTATGGCTATGCTGAACGCAAGAAGGTGGCTGTTGCGGCTGCACAGCTCACTGATAATGCCTTAGCGTGGTGGGACAGAAACGTAGCCGAGAGAAGGAGGCAACGTTTTGGACCAGTCGTCACTTGGAGCGACATGAAATTCCTCCTACGACTTAGATATGTACATGAACACTATCATAGAGACTTACAAAAGCGTTTTCGCAAATTGTCTCAGGGAAACCGAAGCGTAGATGAGTATTTTGAGGAGTTTGAGAAGCTGATGAACTCGTTGGAGTTAGAAGAATCGGAGGAAGCCTTGATGGTGCAGTTCATCGACGGTTTACAAGAGAGAATAGCAAGAAAGGTCGAGAGAGCTCAATATAGTGGGTTACACGAGCTATTGCATCTTGCCATTCAAGTGGAGCAGCAATTCAAGCGCAAGACCGCTCTTACCAGCCGCAACCGCACGAGCCAACCATGGAACGCCAGCAGCTCTAAGCCGGTAGACAAAGGCAAAGCCGTGAAGATTGAATCGAGATTCAAAGGCAAAAGCACCGAGGCTCCCAAGTTCAACCGAGCCGAGCAAGGTAAGCCCTCTAACCCCACCTCAAGGACTCGTGACATAACGTGTTTTAGGTGTCAAGGCAGGGGTCACATGTCAAGGGAGTGCCCAAATCAGCGAGTCATGATCATTACCCCTAGTGGTGACTATGAATCGCAAGATGAACAAGAAGATGAATTTAACGACATGGAGGAGGAGGTTGAATATCCGGATACTGGTGAACTCTTAGTGACTCGCCGAGTGCTAAGCATCCTAGTTCACCCTGAGGAAACAGCCCAAAGAGAGAACATATTTCATACTAAATGCACCGTCAAAAACAAGGTATGTAACCTTATCATAGATGGCGGTTCATGTACTAACGTGGCTAGCAAATATTTGGTGGACAGATTAGGTCTTGAGAAGACAAAGCATCCTCGCCCTTACAAATTAACGTGGCTGAACGATCAGACCGAGCTCAAGATCTCTGAGCAAGTATCCGTACCTTTCAGCATCGGCAAGTATCATGATCAAGTCACTTGTGACGTGGTGCCAATGCAAGCAGGGCACCTATTACTCGGTAGACCGTGGCAATTCGACCGAGCCACAACCCACAATGGCCGCACCAACCATTATTCTTTCATGCACAAGGAGCGTAAGTATAATCTTGCACCTCTAAGCCCCACCGAGGTACATGAAATGCAAGTGCACATGAACAAAGAATCCGAGCTAAGTAAAAACAGTCTTTATTTATCATCTAGTGATGTTTATAAAACCATGAGTGCCAATGGCACCGTGCTACTAATGATGTTTAAAGAGTGTCTAAGCGCAGGTCTAGGTGACTCTGAGATACCACTTGAAGTGCAAGCTATTCTGAACAAGTTTAAGGATGTATTTCCCGAAGAGATACCACCAGGATTGCCACCACTTCGTGGAATAGGGGATTCAGCCTTGCCCAACAAGCCAGCTTATAGGATGAACCCTGAGGAGACTAAAGAGCTAGAGAGACAAGTACGAGACCTAATGGATAAGGGTTATATCCGTGAGAGTCTCAGTCCTTGTGCTGTGCCGGTTCTCTTAGTACCAAAGAAAGATGGTACATGGAGAATGTGTATAGACTGCCGTGCCATCAACAACATCACCATCAAGTATAGGCACCCCATTCCACGCCTAGATGACATGTTGGACGAGCTAAGCGGATCCACCATCTTCTCGAAGGTAGACTTAAAGAGTGGATACCACCAGGTTCGACTGCGTGAAGGAGACGAGTGGAAGACCGCATTTAAAACCAAGCAAGGCTTGTATGAGTGGTTAGTTATGCCTTTTGGCTTGACTAATGCACCAAGCACCTTCATGCGCCTTATGAACCAGGTTCTTCGAGCTTATATAAGTAAATTCGTAGTTGTTTATTTTGATGATATACTTATATATAGTAAGAACCTTAATGATCATCTTCAACACCTCAAACTAGTGCTTAAAACACTTCGCAAGGAATGCCTATATGCTAACCTTAAGAAGTGCACATTTTGTACTAACAAGCTTGTCTTCTTAGGCTTTGTAGTAAGTGAACAGGGATTACAAGTAGACGAGGAGAAGATCAAGGCAATACGCGAGTGGCCTACACCAACTACAATCGGTCATGTTAGAAGCTTTCATGGCCTGGCCAGCTTCTAAAGGCGTTTTGTACGAGATTTCAGCACGGTGGCCGCCCCACTCACTGCAGTGATCAAGAATAACGTGCCATTCTCATGGGGGCCAGCCCAAGATGCAGCTTTTGAAGCCATGAAGAGCCGATTAACACAAGCACCTGTCTTACCCCTACCAGACTTTGACGAGATGTTTGAGGTGGAGTGTGATGCTTCAGGGGTGGGAATTGGAGCTGTACTACACCAAAGAAAGAGACCAGTGGCATTCTTCAGTGAAAAACTCAGTGGAGCCACACTAAATTATCCCACCTACGACAAGGAATTATATGCCTTAGTCCGAGCATTGGAGACCTGGCAGCATTACTTGTTGTCCAAGGAATTCATTATTCATACTGATCACGAGACTTTAAAGCACTTAAGAGGAAAAACCGCACTTAAGAGACGCCATGCTAAATGGTTGGAGTTCATAAAGACTTTTCCTTATGTGTTCAAGTACAAGAAGGGACAAGAGAATGTGGTGGCCAATGCACTCTCAAGAAGGCATACATTGATATCTACTATGGAGGCCAAGGTACTCGGCTTTGAGCATATCAAGGAGCTCTACAAAGAAGATCCCGAGTTCAGAGAAGCTTATCAAGGCCATGGCAAGGGAGCTTATACCTCATATCACCTACACGATGGGTTTCTCTTCCGAGACAAGAGACTATGTGTTCCACAAGGGTCTTTGAGGGAGCTATTGCTGAAGGAAGCACACGGTGGAGGTCTCATGGGTCACTTTGGAGTGGACAAGACATTAGCCGTAATCGCTGACCATTTCTTTTTGCCGCACCTCAAGAAAGATGTGGGGAGACACTGCTCACGATGTGTTACTTGTCATAAAGCCAAGTCCAGGTTACATCCTCATGGTCTATATTTACCTTTACCTATCCCTAACGCACCATGGGTGGATATTTCTATGGATTTTGTACTAGGCTTACCCAAGATCAGGCACAAAGACTCGATCTTTGTTGTTGTTGATCGCTTTTCAAAAATGGCGCACTTCATACCCTGTGACAAGACTAATGATGCCACACAAACCGCGGATTTGTTCTTTAAAGAGGTGGTGAGATTACATGGAGTGCCAAGAACGATTGTCTCTGACCGAGACTCTAAGTTCTTAAGCCACTTTTGGAGGACCCTTTGGAGAAAGCTTGGCACCAAGCTTCTATTCTCTACAACTTGTCCTCCTCAAACGGATGGGCAAACTGAAGTGGTAAACCGTACACTATCTACTTTACTTAGGGTCACTCTTGGTCGAAATTTGAAAACATGGTTAGATTGTTTACCTTTCATTGAATTTGCTTATAATCATGCTACTCACTCGGCTACTAAGATGTCTCCTTTTGAAGTTGTGTATGGATTTAATCCACTGACGCATTTAGATCTCTCTCCAATACCCCAAGCTGAACAAGTTAATCTAGACGGCCTCAAGAAAGGAGAATTTGTGAAAAAGATACATGAAAAGGCCCGAGATAACATAGTGAAGAAAACGGAGGAATACAAAAGGAGAGCTGATAAAGGACGCAAGAAACTTGTATTCAAACCAGGAGAGTGGGTCTGGCTACATATGAGACCAGAAAGGTTCCCACAGCAAAGGAGTTCCAAGCTTGCCCCTCGCGGAGATGGACCCTTCAAAGTGCTGGAAAAGATCAATGATAACGCCTACCGACTAGAACTTCCAGGTGAGCTGAACATTTCACATAGTTTTAATGTTGCTGATTTGTCTCCTTATGATGCAGGTGAAACAGTTTTGAGGACAAAACCTCTTGAAGAGGGAGGGAATGATGAGGCCATCGAACCATCACCAGACCCAAAGATCGTTCCCGAGCTCAAAGAAGCACCAATGACCCGTTCCAAAGCAAGGAGGCTTAGAGAAGGGTTCAACTTGGCCGTGGAATCATTACTACGTACCATGGAACTTGGAGATGCATTCAAAACCGAGATTCAAGAGCAATACACGCGAGACAGCCCCAAAGGACCCGATTTAGACATAATGGAGGGTTTCGCGCGTTTGAGCCTCAGAGAGAACCAGCCCCAACCAGAACCAGGTATACATGTTTACTTGGCAGGAAATGGAGCACGGAACACCAAGAATCTTGAAGAGACCGCATTGGATCCTCAAGATACAACCGTTTCAAGACTCGGAGCCGATAGCGAGCAAATGAGACAAGAAGAGGAACATGAAGTGGGACGCGTGAAGAAACTTGAAGAACTCGCAGGACACAACGTTAGCAGGACTCTAGACGAAGAAAACATCAAGACTAACGAAGAAAACCTCAAGACTAACGAGCTACTCAACGACGTAACCAGCAAGCCCACGACCGGCCGTAACCAGGTATTTTCCACTTATACGATTTGTGCAGGTAACATGGGAGTATCCTAGTGGTGTTTAACACACTAGAGAGAATCAGAGGTGCACGGAACAAGTCCAGAAAAGGTTGCACACAATTAGTTTCTTTTCCTTTTTATTTTTAAGTGAATTTTCTATTTTTGTGTCCAAATGAGACGCTTTGCCATTTTGCTTTATTTATTTTTACAAGTCCTATTGTTTTGAGTCCTTAGTGTCGTTTTTATTCATTGAGTTGAACCCTAAAAGGTTCAAAGCTGACGGACTGTTTATAAAGTCGCACATGCAGTTCTTGTACTTTAACCTTTTTTTTCCCCGATATCAATAAAATAACGCCGTTTTCCTCTTAGCTTGTGCTTGAGAGACTTTGTTTGTGTTCTTGCGTGTGAGATTCACCAAGAGACAAGCCGCAGTATCAGAGATCCTCCATCATCTCTGTGGTGCCTTCGATCCACTTCAAAACCCCTAATCGATCCCTCAAGAGAGAGCGTTAAAGCCAGCTTGACAGATCCCATCTCGATTCAAGTCTTGTGGAAGAAAGTCTTGTCTTACCATCCTCATCCACTGATCTACACGAGAGAACAACAAAGCCAGCGTGTTGATCCCACCAAGCCCTCGATTCCGCAATCATATAAGTCTCACCCGAATCTTATATCATACGCATATAAGTGAAAGAAATCACAAATTTTTTTAAAGAAGTGGTTGGGAATGGGGATTTGCGGTGAAGGTCTTAAAAGAGTTAAAGAGTAATAGTGAACTATATCTCGAAATTAAATTTTATACTTCTTCTGAGAGGTTTCCACAATTCACTTTTTAACTTTTAAATTATATATTTTTGATATACCTTCCAAGTTAAAATTAAGACTTCGCTATTATTTCTGCTATATTTTTATTATACACTCCAAGCTCCAAGTTAAATTTAAGTATGTTTTTTTTTCTTTTAATTATTATTTTGATATTTTCTTGCCAATATGGCAATATGTAATTATCTTGGAGCTCACGCCAAAGAAAATCTTCCTTTAAGTTCTTATTTTTAACTTGGAGCTCACGCCAAGAAATTAAATTAGAAATAAAATAGTTTATCGCAAATAGAAATTATGGCCAGTAGAATGTTAAAATAAAATAAAATAATTGTGGCCAGTTTTGGTGAAGAAAATCTCAGCATACCCTCAGGCGAGGACAATTCTTCCTAATGCGATATTCTGTTTAGGTTAAGCCTCTCCATTTTTTCCTGCAAACGTCGTTCCTGTTCTGTTCTGTTCTGTTCTTAGTCAGAGTAGTTGACCAGTGTAATGATGCGATTCTGGTGCGGAAAGCTCAAAATTTCGAAACCCTATCTAGCGTTGGCAACGCAGAGTGGTAGCCGCTAGTTCAGATCAGATGTAGCCTTCTCTCATCATCATCATAGCCTCACAAGCACGAAGAGCATCACTCGGCTTGTGCAAGACGTAACTGATCGCACATGGACGCAGAATCCAATCATAGAACAACAACACAGAACAGTTTCTTCAAGTGTTGCTGACGATGTAACTATTGAGACTTTCGATTGGTTTTGCAAACAAGGGAAGTCGAGAGAAGCTGTAGAGGTTTTAGAATACTTGCAAAATAATGGTTATGAAATTGGTTTGAATAGACTTTTAAGGTTAGCGAAACTATGTGGTGAATCAGAAGCTTTGAAAGAAGCAAAGGTTGTTCACCAGTGCATCGTTTCTCTGGTTGATCGTTCTCATGTTAGCTCTGGTAACACAATAACCGAGATGTATTCTTGTTGCGGATCTCTCGATGATGCGTTGAAAATTTTTGATGAAATGCATGAGAAGAATTCGGAGACTTGGTGTGTTATGATGAGGTGTTTTGTCAACAACGGATACGGTAAAGAAGCAATCGATTTGTTTACTCGTCTCAAACAAGAAGGGAACAAACCAAATGGAGAGATATTCGAAGAAGTCTTCTCTGCATTTGCTTTGACAGGAGATGTTAATGAGGGATCTCTGCGCTTTGAAGCCATGCAGAGAGACTACGGAATCATGCCTTCCATGGAACACTATCATAGTGTTACCAAGATGTTGGCAACATGTGGTCACTTGGACGAGGCACTGAGATTTGTTGAGAAAATGCCGATGGAGCCAAGTGTTGATGTGTGGGAAACATTGATGAATCTTTCCAGGGTTCATGGAGATCTTGAGCTTGGCGACAGATGTGCTGAGCTGGTTCAGAAGTTGGATGCAACAAGATTGGACAAAGTTTCAAGCGCAGGTTTGGTAACAACAAAAGAGGAACCAAACCATCGGGACTCTAAACAATGTTATAAGTTGAGAGCAAAAGATACTTCACATCCAGATATGGATACAATCTGTGAGACACTAAAGCATTTGCAGTCTCAAATACTGGAAATGGGTTATGTTCCTGATTTAGGGAATTAGCGTATCGTAATGAACGGTTGAAGAAAGGGGAATGAAGAAGAACGGAGTTTCGGTTACAAAGAGGAAGTCGCGTTCGTTAAGGGGTTTCTTAACTCAATGCCTCGATCTTCAGTCACTGTGATAACAAATATTCGCATTTGCAAGGATTGCCACAGTGAAGGTAATGTCAGTGATAACTGGCAGAGAACTGATTAAGCGAGATTCAAAGAGATACCACTGTTTCAATAAAGGAAAATGCTCGTGCAACGATTACTGGTGAGCTAACTGAGGTCCTGTTTGTTTTTGCATCCAGACACTGTATCGGATGCAAATGCTCAAATGTTGTTCGTTTGGACACTTTAGAACTCACATCTGGATGTTGAATCTGGAGCAAATGCTCAAATATAGATATTTGAGATGCTAAAAAATATAGAATATGCATGCAAATCTAGCATTTCAAAAACTAAAAACCTAAAATACTCCTCACAATAATATATTCATAATTATTCTTAAAAATCATTTTTAGTCAAAAAGTCATTTCTTACAAAACAAAAAAAAATTGCTAAATCCATAAAATCTTATTTTTCCAAAATCTCAATTTCCCGCAAAAATCGCAAAATCTCGTTTTCCCGCCAAAAACACAAAATCTTGATTTTAACTCAAAATTTTGATTTCTCATCAAAAACGCAAAATCTCGATTTTCCACAAACATCAAAAAATTTGGATTTCCCGCTAAAACAAAAAAATCTCGATTTTCTGCAAAAAACGAAATAATCTCGATTTTCTGCTAAATCGTAAAATCTTGATTGTCTGCCAAAAACAAAAATCATAGTTTCTTGCTAAAACGCAAATTCTCAGTTTCCCGCCAAAAACATAAAATCTCGGTTTTCGGTTAAAAACCGAAAATCTTGGTTTTTCACCGAAAACGCAAAATTTCGATTTCCCGCCAAAAACACGAAATCTCAATTTTCCGCCATAACAAAAATCTCGGTTTTCCAAAAAAAACGCAAAATTTTGTTTTCCACCAAAAACCACAAAAGGTCGATTTTTCATCAAATATAAAAATCTTGGTTTCCCGCCAAAAAAAAAAAATCTCGACTTTCTACCACAAACGCAAAATCTTGATTTTCCGAAAAAACGCAAAATCCCTATTTTCCATAAAAAACTCAAAATCCCTGTAAAAACAATTTTCCTATCAAATATGCAAAATCATGTTTTTCTGTTAAAAAATGTAAAAATATTTTTTCATGTATTTTTAAAATTTAATTTGATAAAAATATCACTTAGAAATAATTTTGAATTAATCTAATTAAAAACTAATTTAATTATAAATAAAAAAATAACAATTCAAAAGTATGCATTTTTTAATCATTTGATATATTTTGCATCCAACTATTTTTCTAAACTCAGAAACAAACAAATTTGTATCTAGATATAGCATCTTGATATAAAAGCTAATTTAAAAAATGAACAATATCTAGATGTTGTATCTAGATGCTGCATCTAGATTTAAAATCTAGATGCAGCATCTAGATAAAACAAAACGAACAGGACCTGATTGTTTTCTCTACTCAGGCTTTCTTTTTTCAATAAAAATAAGTTGAGACAACAAAGGATTTTAATAGAAAATTCTTTAGGAACTGTCTTTGTCATCACCTAAATAAAAGTCAGTTTTTATCAATAATGTTTAAAGGATATGTATGACATCAACAAAGGATTTGATTTCATGGTTTGCCTCTAAATCTTCCATGTTTCTCGACCAAAAAAAAAAATCTTCCATGTTTCTTGACCAAAAGAAGAATCTTCCATGATCTCTGTTTTTTTTTTTGGGTGGTTCTAGGGACTTATTTCGGTCAAATGTTGGCAGTTTTAAACTCGTTCAAATAATCCAAATTGATCGTATCGGTCTTGAAGAAAATTTCGTAATTAGAGTACAAAATTTGGATTCGAATATATTGACCTGAAACTTGAATCGTTCAACTCAATGACTAATAATGATAACTTAATACTAATATAATACAGTTTGATTATACCTGTCACTGACTCACAGCCTAATGAAAACGGAATGAGCTTTTAAAAAAAAAAACATGAGCAATCAGTTAAGCTATCCTGTAACGAATTAGTCAAATTTATTTATTTAACATCAGAGAAAAATAATCACAAATGTTTTGAAACGTATGAATGAAGTAAGACAAAGCTTATCATTAACCTGTTAAACACATAATCAATTTTGTTTGTCACCGTTCATTCAATGAAGACCACTTCTTTCATCTTCACATTTGCCGTCACAGTTTTTTTCACGGCGGTCCCGTCGTGCTTCTCAGCTGACCAACAGTACGAAAAGTGCCGTCTGCCTCTGAGATGTAGTCCGGGTCCGACGCTGCTGCCAAACATCTCTTATCCTTTCTGGGGAGTCAATAAACCCAGTTACTGCGGCCAAAGAGAGTTTCAACTCTCTTGCAACAACCACCAAAACCTAACCCTAGATCTCGCAAACTTTTCTCTTCGGGTCATTTCTTTTGATTTGGAGAATCAAACTCTAACCGTTGCCGATGAGAGTTTATTGGAAGGTGGCTGCCCATACCTGTCACTGAACTTCTCCGGGAGTAATCAGTACACACTCGCTCCTACAATCGAGAAGATTGACTTGTTCACTTGTTCGGCTTCTCCCGAGGTAGAATCCGTCTCGTCCTTTACTTGCGGAACATCCAACAGGAATATTGTAACATTTCACGCTTTTAAATCTTCGAATACAATTAGGGCTTGCGTAAAGTCCGGAGAAGTTCCATTGCTTAGTTCTGTTAAGGTTGACTTTCAGCAGTCAAGGCTAACATTGGAGGAAGCTTTAAAGAAGGGGTTCGATCTAAGGTACAATATTAGAAAGAGTGACTCTTGTAACCTGTGTTTATCTAGTGGTGGAATTTGCGGTTCGGAGTCAGTCTCAAGGAGTTTCCACTGTCTCTGTTCTGACCGCCCTCACAATTATGCGTGCCTTTACCAAGGTGAGTTACAAAAATCTGTATTCACCTAATGAATTTCAATACTCTGAGTAAGACAATTTAAATAAGTTATCCTTTATTTCCAAAGGTAATTAATAAATTTAGTATCATGTCGCTATTGTTTGAGATACAGGAGGACGTATAAACGTTCGGATGAAGATTACCATTGGTTAGTTTCCTTCTCAGAGACTCTCAAAGGATGTTGACTTTGCGTGATAGAGAATTGCGTAACTCAGTAGTTGATTTATTCTTTTAGGTGTAATGGTAGCAGGAGTTGTGATTTTTTTGGTAATCATAGCACTGATGTCACAGAGAGTGAACAAAACATGTTGTGTAAGAGATCAAAACCTTGAAGCACTCGTACCACTGAAACGATATAGTTACTCACAAGTCAAAAAAATCACAAAGTCATTCACACATGAAGTCGGGAAAGGAGGATTTGGGATTGTCTATAGAGGATTCCTTTGTGATGGCCGAAAGGTTGCTGTGAAGGTCTTGAAGGACACAAAGCGTAATAATGGTGACGACTTTATCAATGAAGTTGCTAGCATGAGCAAAACATCGCATGTCAATATTGTTACCCTGCTTGGATTTTGTTTTGAAGGTTCAAAAAGAGCAATTATATATGAATTTTTGGAAAATGGGTCTCTGGATAAGTTTATCTCAAGCAATAAGGCATCGGGTATGGACTGGAGTGCACTGTATGGGATCGCGTTAGGGGTTGCTCGTGGCCTGGAGTATTTACACAATGGGTGCAGAGAAAGGATTGTGCATTTTGATATTAAACCACATAATGTATTGCTAGATGACAATCTTTGTCCCAAGGTTTCAGACTTTGGCCTTGCTAAGCTTTGTGAGAATAAAGAAAGCATATTGTCACTACTAGAAACAAGAGGAACGGTTGGGTACATTGCACCAGAAGTGTTTTCAAGAATGTACGGTAGAGTTTCTCACAAATCAGATGTGTATAGCTATGGAATGTTGGTTCTTGAGATGATAGGAGCACGAAACCAAGCGTACATAGAAGACTCTGCATCGAACACAAGCTCAATGTACTTTCCTGAATGGATCTATAAGGATCTTGAGAAGGGATACAATAAAAGGCTTATCAAGAATGGAATCAGCAGCGAAGAAGATGAGACAGTGAGGAAGATGACACTAGTGGGTTTGTGGTGCATTCAGTCTTCACCATTAATTCGCCCACCGATGAACAGAGTTGTAGAGATGATGGAAGGAAGCGTAAATGCTCTTGAAGTCCCTCCTAAGCCTGTTTTGCAGCAAAATTCAGCAGCACCTTTTTCTGAATCCTCTTGGATTTCAGAGGAGAATTCAAGCCCCTGTGAGGTATGATCTGATCCATAAACGTGAAATGTTTTAGTTTGTGAGCAAATCTGTTTGGTGTAATTGTAAATGTTAAGAGAATAGAACGCATGTACAATTCTAATAACTTGAGTGCCTGCCATACATTTCCGGCTAGGTTGTGCTTTATTACCATATCTCTTTGTCTTATGCATGAACGTCCTATTTAAGATGTTGGATCGCGCAGCTGCAGAAAATTGATTTGGCTACCATAAGAGCTGTTCTAGACTAAACCTCACTCATTTGTGTTTTGCGGATGATCTTATGGTCTTCTCAGATGGGAAAATGAGATCTCTAGAGGGAATTTTTGACGAGTTTGATGCTTTCGCTTCTGCTTCGGGATTGAAAATTAGTCTTGAGAAATCGACTATCTTCATGTCTGGGATCACAGAATCGAATCAAACTGCAATAGTGAATCGCTTCCCTTTTAATGTAGGAGATCTTCCGGTGCGCTATTTAGGGCTCCCTTTGATGACAAAGAAAATGACACGAGCTGATTATGCTACACTTTTTGAGAGCATTCGTACGCGGATAGGTTCATGGATAGCAATGCATCTTTCTTATGCTGGGTGTCGACAATTGTTGATCTCGGTTATATCAGGTCTGACAAACTTTTGATTATCTGCTTTTCACCTTCCGCGATCCTGTATTGATGAGATAGAATCGATATGTGGAGCATTCTTATGGTCTGGTCCAAGCCTCAGTACTAGACAGGCGAAGGTATCATGGAATGATGTCTGCAAGCCTAAAAAAGAAGGCGGGTTGGGAATTTGATCTTTACGGGAAGGAAATGAGGTATCTTGCCTCAAGTTGGTGTGGAGGTTACTCTCGAACAAATCTTCTTTATGGGTGGCATGGATTAAAGAGTATTTTCTTTGGGGTGTTTCTTATTGGTCGGTAAATGAATTGCGTTCTTGGATTT